CTCTGTGCATTGCTGCCCAAATCAAATTCTGGAAGTAGTCATTCAACTAGATCTGTTACAAAAGGACAACTGATATTACCAACTATTAAAAACTGTTAAGGCCAGAGGTCTTTCTTCTATGTTTATACTAAAGCATGGAATGACATTCCTCACAACATAAAGTCCATTTCAAAACTACAGCCCTTTAAGAAGAATCTTGTCTGCCATCTGCTGGACACTTTATGTTGTGCTCATATTTAGACATCCTATTTTACAAATGCTGCCTTTTTGAAATTTGGTTTGCTTGTTTGTCTTTGTGTCTATGGTGTATAATGATGTGATTGTGATGCTGTAATTCTGAGTGTTTTATGTACTGCAGAACAGGAATCTGCTGTAAAACAGCAATTATGCTGAGTCAGGCTTGATTTTTAATAATCTTTTCCTGTTAAATAAATCAAATCAAATCAAATCAACTCCACGACTAACTCTGGTGTAAGAAGAAGATTCATTATTAACATTAACAAACTGAAATCTGTCAGTTAAATAAGACTCAAACCGTTGTAGAGCTGTTCCTGTAATCCCAATATCAAGTTCAAGTCCACGTAGTAAAATATTGTGATCAATTGTATCAAATGCAGCACCGAGATCTAAAGGACAAGAATGGACACAAGTCCACTCTCTGATGCCATGAGAATATCATTAGTAACTTTCACCAGCGCTGTTTCTGTGCTATGTTGAGCTCTAAACCCTGACTGAAACTCCTCATATAGATTATTTRTATCCAGATGTTCATATAATTGATTTGCAACTATTTTCTCAAGAATTTTTGAGATGAATGGGAGATTAGAAACAGGCCTGTAGTTGGCCAGAACTCCTGAATCAAGATCAGGTTTCTTAAGTAAAGGTTTGACTACAGCAACCTTAAAGCTCTGTGGCACATAATCATTCATTAAAGATAAATTAAGTACATCTAAAATGTGGATATTAATTAAGGGAATGCTTCTTTGAACAGTCTGGTTGGGATGGAATCTAGCAGACATGTTGATGGTTTGGATGAAGCTATTATTTTAGATGAATCAGAGAGCTCAACTTTTTCTCATGACGATAATAAGACGGTAACAAAATAAACATAGCTCTTTGATGACTCAGACATGAGGAAATGTGTGTGAGTTTTTGTTGACGAGACGAGACTGGACGAAAATGTTAGTCGGTGGTCTGTCAATCATTTAGAATGCCGAGTGGAGGGAGGGACAGCAGCGCTGTTACACACATGCGCACACACAGCAGCACAGAACATTTTCTCCCGTTCTCTCACAGCCTGCGCCACTTCGCAAAAAACAAAAGAAAAGTCCGTCTGTCACCTGTAGCTTAACCAGGGAGTAACGTCTCCACCATTATTAAAAGCTGCTGCAGGTCCATGAGCTCAGAAACTGTTTGTTTACATTCATGACAAAAGTAAAACTATTTTCTTTGGCCGTGGGGAGTTAACAACTGTGCATGTCAGTGCTTCTGTTCTGAATAAAAGCCTGGTGCATGAAAACACTCGTTTGCACAAGTTTAATAGTCTACTAAGTTTAGGACTGCGTGATGTCCGTTACGGTAATTAAAAACAAATAAAATTATTTTAACTCGATTCTAACATAGATTGGTAACCAATGCAGGAATTTTAAAATTGGTGTAATGGAATCAAATTTTCTCATACTGGTAAAAAGATGAGCAGTATCATTTGTAAATGAGCAACCATAGACCTACTGATTCCAGCATACATTACAATTCTACAGCCAAGGTGTAATAAAAGCATGGATCACTATTACAAACAGATGCTGTGGAATGTTTTGTGTAGTACAAATATTGTTTTATCTTTACAAAAACTCCTCGTGTCTGCCTGCACTTTGGGTTTACTCTCTCAACTGACCTTGACAAAATGTGGGGAAATTTACAGAGATGTGAAGAAAATGAGCCAAGGTGGACAACAAAATAACATGCGCAGCCAAGAATGGACTTTAAAAAGCCAAGTGCACAAAAATAAGCTGTCATTTTTAAAAACTGGCTACTCCAAATGCAGCCATCCAGCCTACTGTCACAAGCACTGAGAAATCAARAACTGTAACAGAAAATTATTTTTGAGTCATCAACTAGTCTCTAACAATCACAGCCAAATATTATGTTTAGTGTCATTGAAGGACTTAATTTTTACTTTCTTCCTCTGCCAGCAGTAACATTCAAACTGCTCACTCCAGCAAATGTGAGTTAGTTCCACTGAGCATGTAAACATGTAGCATGTCAATACCAAGGCAGCATTCTTCACAAAAAACAATAAAACAAACAAAAACATGACAAGCACAAATCTGTCACAAACAAAAAGATATTTAAGGCTTTTTATTAAACACGTTTTACTAAAAACTGTTTTAATATCAGAGTCCTAACAAAGTTTGCTTCCCACAAACAACTAAAATAAATCAAATATGTCAAAATTAAATACAAATTGTTGACTCAAAACAATACAAACAAAAATGTTTAGAGTACTACATAAATTATATTTATGTTTTATTAAGTGCTACTTTGACAGAAAATGAATGATTGCATAGGTGATTTTTTTTTCCCCTTTTCTCCCGTAGACTGGACGTCTGGATTCACAACAGAAGTACCTCCTATCACCAGTCTCCGTATGGAAGCTGCTGATATTGCTGTGGTTGTCACGTATTTTGTCATTGTCATGGTGATTGGAATCTGGGTAAGAAGAGACATGACTCATTCACATACATATAGGCTGTGTCCAAAACAAGGGGGCGGGTCCTCCAAAGGCTGAATTCGTCGGCCGCTTACATCACAGCACCGCGACGAAGGCTGTCCAAAACCAACGACTCCTCCAGATGCGGCCGACAAATGTGTCCTTCTTTTGGCCCGAATTGAAGGACTGGTCTGATGGATCCTGTCATGATCTGTGTGTCTTTGCTTTAGTTTTCTAGTGTTTCAGTGTTCCTCTGTTTATCTCTGCCCTGCTCCAGCCCCGCCCATGCTCACCTGTTTCCTCTTGTGTCTCCTCCAGGTGTGTCTTGTTGTCCCTAATTTGTTTGCCTTTACATTCTGTGTCCTGTGTTCAGTCTGTGTCCGATCATTGTWCTGTGCTGTCRTCCGTGTTCCTCCTGWGACCTTGTYAGTTTTTGCTCCCACAACAGCRCTCTTTATGTTCCTTTAAATAAAACTTCTTGTTACATTTTGGATTTTGCCTGCGTCCTGGGTCATTCTGCCTGTGAACCTCACAGATTCTTCTCAGCCCATCATATCCCATAATGCTTTGCGGGCCGGCCGGTGATTTTCTTATGCTAGTAATGGCGGACAAAGCGAGAGAAAATACATTTTAAATAAAATAAAGAGGTATAAAAATAAAAATTTCAAGAGGTTGTATTTTTAATACTTTTATCATTCGTATAGACATTTTTTTAAATATTATTTTTGTCAGAAAAAACAAACTTATGTAGCAAAATGAACATGTGCCTACGGCGAGTCCATTAGTTCTTCAAATATTACATTTAAGTTAATTATATTATTTTGTGATATTAATAACACTGATATATTGATATTTTTCTAATTTTGATCTAATTTTGTGTCTGCTTAGTGTCATCACGGTTGCTAGGCGAGATGACATACGCCGGGGTAAGGACTGGAGGCTAGACCGTCCAAATTCACAAACAGTTTTTTCCTGTTTTCACGATCTACCAAGGACCCAGTCCACCTCGACCGGGTAGGCCYGGTCCTTCGGAGGACCCAGCCTCTCGTTTTGGACACAGCCACAGAAAAGGGGTGGGCAATAGAACAATATCTAATTAGTACCCTGATGAGGTTGAATTGACAATGACCATGAAACCAGTAGAWGGTAAAAGGTAAGTGTGTGTTATTTACAGGTAGGTGGTGAATTATTTACKGCCATGTCAGATATCACGGAAGACTAGCTTAGATGGGAGGGCAGTTGCTCCGGAGATCTGAAGGGTGTCCGTGTTGGAGGAGAGTGGCAGGGCAGAGAGATGAGTAGATGCTTCCTATGGAGAGGTCATCCAGAGGCAGGCAGGCAGGGAGAAGGACCAGGTAATGGTAGTCATGACAGAAGACTCCATGAGGGTTTAAAAGGYTGCAACAAGAAAATCCAAGATTACAGAATGTTCCAGCAAAGAACTGTTCACTTCCAGGATTTAAATACCTCTGAACCTCATCAGTAGAATTCACTGCAGCAGAGGTYTTGAAGCAGGATCTTCACACAGTGGGCTTATTATGACCCCTGCACGCGAAGCATAAACGGGATCATATGATCATCGGGTCATATTGTTTTCGTATTGTTTTTTTTACAGTGATTTTTGGTCAGCTGTAGCACAAAAACGGCTGCACCGATCAACATGAAATTTGGCAGGGCTCATACATGTCAACCTCTTCGGATGTTTACCTGTATAAAAAGCCTCAAAAATCCGTAAATATATTCGCACAACTCACACAAGGGGGG